GGCTCGCCCCAGCCCAGCCCGGCGCTGCCGCTAGATGTCAGGGGAAGCCCGGCGAGAGGAGCCGGGCTGGGCCGGCCGCCCAGCTCTCAGACGCCCTCGCCCGGCTTTCGGCATCCTCAGGAGCCGTCCTGAAAATAAAGGGGCTGAGGTCTCCCCCGGACACGCGGTGCCTGGAAAACACGGTCCTCTGGGAGGTAAAGCTGGGGGTTTGCTGGTAAAAAAGGGGTTTACGGGGCTCAGGCAGCGGCAGGGGCTGGATGCTGCTTCCCCGGCTGCCGATACCCTGCCTCCTCCCGCAGCAGCATTTGGGGTGGGAGACAGCTTTATTAAAGCCCCCCAGGTCCCCCCATCCAGTCCTGATTTGCCCCGAGCAGGGCCCATTTCTGCCCCGCTCCGTGTCTCTGTGTTGGCGCAGGTGGCCGAGGAAGGATGTGACCGTGGGGAGAGCAGAAAGGAGCCAGGCACCAGCACCTTGGTCTAATGACCCCAACCACCCGGTGGGGTCCTGCACCACCAGGCTCAACCCTCTGCCGGCATCGCCAGTGCCAGGAAGCTTCTGGCAGCCTGAATTTCCCAGCAGCTTGCTCTGGAGACAGCCGGGCTTGTCCCCACGTGGGAGCCAGCTCCTGGTCCCAAAGGTTTTGGGAGCAGTCGGGTGCCCACGGGCCTCTGCAGGATGAAGACATGCTGCAGTGATACGGGTGCTTGCTGTGGGAGCGACCCAGCTTGCTCCAGGGATACCTCAGGGTGTCCAGACTCGGCTCAGCTACTTCCCCTCTCTGCTCTGTGCCTCAGTTTCCCCATCTACTGCTCCCTGAAGAGAAGGCAGCAATGAGGGGGACTGTGTCGGGGAAGGGGCGTACCAGGCTCCACAGAAAGCAGCAAAGACTTTCTTGTGGACACTTGCACACCACAATTAAAACACATAGATCTTTTGTAGTTTCAGGATTTGCCAGTGAATTCACACAGCACCTGCCCAGCTTTGCCGGCTGAGTTTCCTCCAGGTTTCTTTCCAGGGAGGAAAGCAAAGCCCCCAGGACCCCCCTTCACCCTAAAGACTGATGCCCATGCGGTGGGTTTCATGGGTTGCTCCATCCCCGTCGTCGTCCCCACCCCAAGGAGGGTACCCTCCCAGAGCCTTGGCCACCAGAGGGTGCGACAGCCCAGAGCAGCCAGCAGCCAGGGGCAAGACCAAGGTGACACCGGGGTCCCCAGCAGCAGGGGTGACCCCTGCCTTCCCCTTACCAGTCATCGCCTTGCACCGGGGACTGGGGCCAAGAAAAAGCCCCCCTCCTCAAAACAGGAAAGTGGCCCCCAGCACTCAGCCCTGTTGGGAGAGGGATGCTCCCCTGGCCATTGCAGCCCCCAGGTCCCCCTGCTTTCCAGGACCCCCGGCAGCCCCCAGCACCCCGTCTCCACATGCCCCCCCCCGAGAGGCTCTCACCCTGCCTGCCTGCCCCAGGTGTGGGCAGCAGCCCCCAAACCTCCAGCAGGTTCGAGCACCCTGGAAATGTGGCAGCTCGAGCGAAGCCAAGGGGGGTCCTGCAGCACCTGGAGCAAGGGCACAGCCCCAAAGGGCTCCCAGAGGGGCGATGGTCACTGTGCCGGGGGTCCCCGGTGGGAGGAGGCCTGGGGGGACCCACCTCCCGTGAGCCCAGGGGCGGCTGCCAGATGCTTTCACACCTCCAGTGCCAGACTCCGGCGCTCGCCATGTGGGGTTCCCGCAGGCGCAGGTGTCCTCAGCTGCCAGCACCGTGCCCCGGGGACGGGGCCACAGCCCCATGCCACGCAGGAGGGACAGGGGGTTCAGGACCAGCACAGCGAGGTTTGGGGTAAGCGGTTTGCTACCCAGCCAAAGTGGCCACATTCGGGACCATCTTGTTTTACTACCTGCTGCTGTTGAAACACGTGGATTTTTTTAAATGATTGCAACAAAGATGAAAAAAACCCCAAACAAAACATCATTTGGTTGCAGGCTGACCATAAAACATCACTTTTAAAGGGCTCTTTATCATTCCTAAAAGGAATTAAATCAAATTAGAGAAAATTTGGAGTTTGAAGCATTGCTCCACAGCAGAAATTCAAAACTTCTTACTTTGATATAAGCCAAACCATCACTTTAACTTTTCCAGTTTCAGTTGTTCATTACAGAAAACCTGGTGAAACCAACACATTTGCTAAATGCTTCGGTGCCACCGAATTTCCACGACAAAACACAGGGAAGTGGGCCACGCAGCTCTGTTCCTGCTGCCACCATGGGCGCAGGGGAGGGTTTCCGCTGTCCCCGCTTTGTGCAGAGACCCCAGCCCCACTCCACACTCAGGTCACAGGGGAGGACACGTCCCACGTGCCCATGTCCCCGTGGCATGCACCGCTCCCCGGTGCCGCATCGCAGAGGAGGGATGGAAGAGGGAGAAGCAGCACGAGGGCTGGTGCCCCAGCAAGGGGGTGCCAGGCTCCAGTCATCACCCCCAGCCCTGCGCCACCCCCTCCCACCTCACCTCCTTCCCAGCCCTCTCCTCCTCTTTTCCCAGGCAGCCGCTTTCCCCTTTTTGATCTCCTTGCAGCACGTTTCAAAAGCAACCCACTGCGACGGGAAGAAAAGCCCCTCCAGTGAGATCATTGCGAGACCCCCAGACGTAGGGGTCGGGTGTGAAATGGACCTCCCTCCTCCTCCCCTCGCCCGGCCCCCTGGCCCCTCTGAAAGGCTGTTATGTTTTGTAATCGGATTAGGGGAGCCCTGCGCCCTCCCCGCTCCCATTTACCAGTGCGACCAGCTTGCGCGCCGCCACTCTCCCCGCAGATTGTTTAAGCGAGCCAGGCGCGAGCGGAGAGCTCGCCCATGCAGCGGCGAGGGTAGGTTCGGACGGCGAGAGCCTGAAAGGTTTAGTCAGCGAACAAATTGCTTCTCTGTAGGGGCCGTTTTCTTCCCAAGTTGAACATAATGATGGCAGTTTGGCGAACAGATGGTGCAGCTAAGCAGATAATCCCGCCGGCCCTGCTAGCTCGGGGAGAGGCAGCGACGGCTCTGCCTGCAGCTCCGGGGGCCCGTCCCGGGACAGGCAGGTCGTGGCAGTGGCTGGGTGATGATTGCACCCCAGCGGGGCACGAGGAGCTCGGGTGAGCACCCCACCTTCACACCTCTTCTGCTTCGAGGGTGGTTTGGGTGCCAGATGCTACTCGTGCCTCAGTTTCCCCAGCCTTGCGGGGAGCTCTCTGCTCCATTGCTTTTCAAAGCAGGGCTCACCCTCAGATCGCAGCCTGATGCGGGGAGATGTACCGCAAGACAGCACCACTTTCCCTGCGCAGGAGCAAAAGACAGCTGAGAAAAGCTCATTTTATTCTCATTTTCTTCTCATTTTCCTATTTTCTCTCTCTCTCTCCAAAAATATTCAAGATGTGGAAAGAGCTGGAGAAGAAATTCTGCCAGCTCGCAGGGGTTGGATGCATGGTGTGTGTGTGTCAGGCTCAGGGATGCTGGGACCCGCCTGCTAAACAAGTCTTTATTTAAAATACATCAGCAAGAAAAGCCCAAGGCCCCACCAACACGATGCAGGCAGGGGAGGGCATGGACACATCTGCGTAGAGCAAGCCCTGCCCGCCTGCCTGTGCCACACTGGCACCAGGGACCCCTTCCCCACGCCGCGGGGCTCTCGCAGCCTGCAGGACACGCTCCAGACGCACCACACCGCATCCCCGCTTCCAGGGGGTTCATTTAATTCATGTTTCCCCCCCCAACACCCGCCAGCCTTGTCCCCTGAGAGCCCCGACTCTGACAGCTCCCTTGCCCTCTCCCATGGCAGCCCAGCTGCCAAGAGACCTGCCTAAATCACCTCTTGCTAATGCAGGAGCTCAATCAGCTGCTCAAAGGGTGTTTTACAAGGAAAAGCAATAACAACATCTATCTGTTACAGCTGGGGAAACTAAGGCACACAAAGAGGTGCTCGAGAGTCCATTGGAATTAGAGGCAGGACAAAGCCCGGGCTCCCAGAGCTCCCGGCGTACGTGTCCTTACACATCCTCAGCCCCCACCACCTCCCCACCCCCAGGAACAGCTGATGCCATGTGCTGTTTGATAGAAAGCCAGCTAATCATCTTTCCCACCTTCGTTAGAGTGTGAATCGTTATCCGAGCGACACCTGTAAAGCTCCTTGTCAGACGAGGCTGGTGCACGCGTCTAATAATGGGCACCATATGGGAGAGGGAAGGCTCAGGAGAGGAGCAGGGGCCCAACCATCCCCGTGCCGAACAAAGAGCAGCACCCGATGGCTTCCCGTCGCGGCACAGCGTCACCAGCGCCAGCGCTGGGCCATTTGAAAGACCGGCAGCGCTGTGCCATGGCAAGGGAAGAGCCCAGGCAGTGCCGGTGGTGGAGGAAGAGCTACTGCTCGTGGTACTAAACATCTCGATAACTCCCCAGGCAGCCCCTGCCCTTTGGAAAAGGACCTGGCAAAAGCAAACCGCAGCTTGAGGGTGCAGGTTAAAGGCAGGAGAGCCGTTGAGCCCTGCTCCCTGCAGTGTGCCTGAAGCCTGGGACTGGGCGCCCCAAATCTACCAAGGCACATCCCACCGTGCCTTGGAGCATCCTTTCGCCACCAGCCTGGCAGAGGCCACCCACGGGTGCAGACAAAGCCTCCCAGGACCCGCGGGTTATATGGTGACGGGGAGGACACAGCATGAATTAGAGACGGGTCCCTGCACTGGGGCTGATCCAGAGTCCCCCAGACTCCCTCCCCAACCCCAAACTTGGGGGGCAGAGCTCAGCCCCTCTGTCAGGCCACCCCCCAACAAAAGCCCCCACCGCCTTCGACCCACTGCAATTACGAAGCTCAGTTTTCAGGCCCCCATTCATCGCCAGCAGCGTAATGAGCCTCCGGGCACCGTCAGTGGGGGCAAAGCAATTAAAATCACTGGCATGGTGGCTGCGTGGGTGGCTCTGTTGTTCGCTGATGCCGGCGCCCGTTTCGGGGCGAGTGGGCAACGCCAGGCCAGGCAGCGCCTCAAAGCGCCGTGTCTCCCCGCGGGCGAACAATTGGCTCGTTCTTGGCCGGGTTGAAAGAAAAATAAAATAAAATAAAGAGGGAATAAAGGCCCCAGTAAAACTGGGAGTCAAGTTTATTTACAAACTGAATATGAAGTGAAGGGCCTGGAACAAAGGTGTTATGTAAGGGACAGTCACTAAGGGGCTCTTTACCCACGCTAATTGCCACTTGCTCCGCGATATCCATTTATCTTGCAGCTGAAACGGCCTCCTCAGGCTTGCAGGTTCAAGCACTGCTTGTTTGCAACGCTGCCCGGCACAATTAGCGTGCGGGAGCAGCAGCCGATGCAGTCCCACCGCCCAAACCCACCGGGAAGCCTCGCGCCTCCCCAAGAACCCCAAGAAGTGGGATCGTGCCCAGAGTGGGTGGATGTGCCGGCGGGCACGCGGCTTGGTAGGGAGCGATGCTGCCCTGTGTGGGGCTTCGGTGTCGGTTATGAAACGGGGAGGGACAATGGGGCTCGGTTCTGCTGGAGAACCTCCAGGTCCCTGCATCAACCTTACCCGAGCAGAGATGAGCAGCAAACCATCACGGGATGCTCATGGGAGCGGCTGCAAGAGTGATAGCTAATGGCCGTGAAAGGAGAACGAGATCCGGAGAGGACAAATGAACCTGCTGCTCACGACGATGTTTCCGAGTGCTCCGGCTGGAAACTGCCTTCAGATGCAGAAGACCGAAGGGCAGAGACTAGTAATTAAAAAAAAACCAACACGGGGCGAAGCAGCTGCCATATGATCGCTGCTGTGCCCTGCAGCACATGGCCTTTCTGCTCCCATCCCTGCTCTCGCCCTCAGCACGTCCAGGGGCGCGAAGACCACGGAGGGACCGTTAACACTGCTCCAGCAGAACCGGCAGGAGAGGGAGGAAGAGGAGGCGGCAGCATCCCCGGGAGCTGAGGGGTCAATTTTATTGACAAACTGCCTCTTGAATGGAGCGTGGGGAACAATGCCGGCCCTCAGCCCGGGTCAATCGTGACTGTGTAAAGCGAGGGGCCGGCACCAATGGCCCCGGGAAAGCCCTCCAGGCGAGTGGCCTTTACCACCGTGTTTGCATAACCCCTGACCCCTCCTTTTGGGGTTTAATTGAAATCCCAGCTTGGTGACAAATTGGCATGACCAGCGGGCCGGAGGGTGGGAGGGCGAGCGTGGAAGTGATGCCGGGAAGCCCTCTCCCTGCTCCGGCAGAGACCGACCCGCTGCCTGCCGCGGGCAGGCTGCCCCTTCCCGTCCTGGCACGGACCACCTGCAAAGTGGTTTACACCCAATCGAGTGTTTTAATCACAGCCTGCTCCTTCCTCTCCTCCCATGTCGCTGCCCAAAGGCTGCCACGATGGGCTTTGGACAGGCAACTGTCCGGCTCCGCAAGCAGCTCTGGCTCAATGCGGGCAGGAGCAGGCAGGCACTGCCTGTAGATGTGCGAGGCTCCTTCAGAAAAGCCCGTTTGGGCTGAAGTCTCCTTGGACCGAGATGCTCTGATGCTTCCTTAACCACAGAGCTCATTAGCCCCGGGCAGAGGCATTTGCATTTTGCACCCTGGCAAACCCCCACCACGCAGAGCCCTCTCCTCTCCCTGTCCAAAGGGAAGGGTCACAGCCCTTCGCCAGTCTTTTGCCTTTAAGTAAAAACTGCTTTTTGGAGCCAATAGTAGAAACGAGCTTCTGAAAAACAAATATAACTAAAGCCCCAAAGCTGTTCCCACAGACTGGGGATCAAAAACTGACATTGAGCCAAATGGGGCTGAAGTCATCCCATTTCAGAAGTTCCTGGGAGAGAGGTGAGAAATGACAGACGCACCCTTGTGATCGCAGAAATCTCATTTTCTGCAGAAACCAGTCTAAAAACAAAGAGAAAAAGCCCCAAATCAGCCGCCTCAAAATCCCCATCCCTTTTACAGAGCACGAGCAGCATCCCAGCCGCTCCACGCGGTATGTCAGCGACGCAGAGCTGCGCTACGCGAAGGTACCACTGCACCTGAGATGGACGTCAAGGTGGGTATTACTGCTGGCTAAAGGGACTCTGCGGAGTTACAGCACAATCCTCCAAAGCACTAATATTTTCCCTTCACTTTTCCCCCTGTCCCAGAATACTGTAATCATCAGACGCGGAGATTAGACTGCAGAGTTTTCCTGCCCACAGGTAGATATTTAATATTTTATGTTCCGTAGATCATCCAAGATGAATCCCAGCTGCTCTTTAAAGGGGATGGAGTAACGCCTGGTCCCATGTGCAACCAGAGCCCCAAAGCGCAAACGGCACAAGCGGGGCTTGAACCAATTCCAGTCTAAACCCGTGCAATTTCCACGTGCAGGCGAGAGCCCGTGAATCACCGAGGCTCCTGTCCATGGTTTTGCCGGCCCTGCCCTTGCAGCCCATCCTGCAGGACTTTGCCAGGTCTGGTGAGGCGTCCCACACTTCGGAGCATCAATCTCATTTTTACAGTACCAACAGGAGACTTTCACTCGGTAGCCGATGTCTGTACATCCAACTTGCACTAAAGCACCTTAAAAACGGAGTGGCCCCACTTTGAGGCAAACCCCCAAAATATCCCCATCCCACCTGCTTTAGTGTCTGTACCTCATTTGCAAATCATTTACAGGGATTTTCACATATCCTAAAATACTTTTAACTGCAGGTTTCATGTCTGTCATCCGTCACTGATTAATACATTTCATTGCTATTATTGTTATTATTACTATTAAACGTGCATCCATCCAATTCATAAATCAAACACCCTGTCGACTAGGACGGAGCCAGCAATAACCAGGGTTCGTTTTCAGGAGGTGCAGCCATCGGAGATGATGAGACTCGTATGAGCAAGCCCTTGCCCCCTCCATTAGTAGATCTCAAACTGGTTTGCAAAAGAACCAGATCGTATTATTGTTATTATTACTATTAAACGTGCATCCATCCAATTCATAAATCAAACACCCTGTCGACTAGGACGGAGCCAGCAATAACCAGGGTTCGTTTTCAGGAGGTGCAGCCATCGGAGATGATGAGACTCGTATGAGCAAGCCCTTGCCCCCTCCATTAGTAGATCTCAAACTGGTTTGCAAAAGAGAACCAGATCGTCAGTTTGCAGAAAGAGAGGTACAAGGTGGGAGGTAACTTGCCTCCAGTGACTCCAATAAACCGGGGGCACCGGTGGGGACTGGACTATCCGAACCCTTCATCCTCCTGCCTCCCCGTGCAGCCTTGGAGTTTGCCACGTTTCGAGGGAGAGAAACAGACTGCAATTTTGTGTTGCTTAACCTCCTTACCTCCCAGCTCCACACACCCTTGTGAATAAATCCGGGATGATTTCATCCCCCCGCAGTTTTTCTCCCCACCTCCCAGGACAACCAGGTCCTTACGCTCTGCTGGCTGTCACTTAGCCACCTTCCCGTGTACCCTGCGGGTCACTATTCCTCCAAACAACCTTTGGTTTCCACCAGTTGAGGTTCTTAGGGGCTTCTTGCACAAAACCCTTTGAGGTATTTCATGCAGGGCTTGAAAAGGCTCCTGCTTCCTCTGGGGGGCATTATCATGACAACCGGCTTTAATTCAGTGCAGATCCAGGCTCCCAGCTGGATCCTCAGCCACGCCAAGTCCCCCCGACACCCTTCGGCTGGCACAGAGAGGCCAAAGGAGCGCGCGGGTCCCAGGATCACGGGGAACTGGCCCGGCCCCATTTCCCAGTCCTCATCCTCATATATATTCCCTTCCAGTCGCCCCGCGCTTTTCTCTGCGTGTTCTTCTTTTGCGAGAGCTGCCCTCCTCTTCCCCACTCCCACCGGGCGCTTCCCCCCTCCCCGCGGTCCTCCTCTGTCCCCAGCATCCCCCTTTCTCTCAGCTCTCTATAAACAAAGCGCCTCAGTGTCTGGGGGAAGAAAAGTTGCATTATGCAAATGGGAAAAAGCGAACAGGAGATTTCTCACTCCGAGAACCCCCATTCCGGGCCTGCACCTCGGTTTCCATGGCATGACCAAAGCCTGCTGGAGGCTGGTTTGCATACGGATGAGAGAGGAGATGAAATCAGCACGAAAGCCCATCGCTGACAGAACACCATTGTTTAGCCTGTCTGATTTGGAGGCTAATGAAACGCCATTAAAAAAAGAAAGAAAGAGGAAAAAAACCCCACCGCTTTCATCCTGGCTTTGGTCAGTGATGGGGAGGGGGGGTTAAACATGACGATGGAAGATCGTCTGCACCATCGGGCTTGGGGTGAAGGTATGCTGGCACCGGGGAAGGAAATTCCCAGGATGCACTGCCCCTGCAAGCCAGAGCGATGCCGACGGGAGATGGTGCTGTGGGCAGAGCACTGGGCTGGGAGAGGCTGCGAAAGAGCCGGCAAAATCAGCCCTGCTCCTCTCCAGGAGATACAGCAGCACCCGGCATGAAAATACCCCAACCCACCGATGCCCCACAGCAGCCGCGAACCCGTCTGTCCCACAGCACGTCTCAGGGAGGGTATTGACCCACTCAAAACCACACCGTGTCTGGGAAAGACACTGGACCAAGCGCGTGGGCTGGGATCAGGCTCTCCTGGTCACAGGCTTTCAGAGTGGAATGAATTAAAAACTGTGAAACCAAAGGCCAGAGCGGGAAGAGGGTCAGCGAGCAAGCATGGTGCATTAGCACTCCTTCACCGTGCAAGCTGTGCCCATGCTGGTGGAGAGGGAAGAGCCGTGTGCATCTCAAAGGACAACATAAAATATAGAGAGAAACACCAATGGATGCCCCATCTCCTCCACCCCAAGAGCCTCCTTGGGCTATTCCTGATGCATCAGGCTAAGGAGGTCCCAGCACCCCTCAAAGTGCTCCAGGGAGGTGGGATGGTTGGAGCAGGAGCACGGCTGCCGGCTCTCGGCCGCGAGTAGCTCTCCTCCCCTCGCCCTTGCCACGGCCACCCAGTCCCTTTCCCCCTGCCCCGCTGCCAACGGCACATTGTCTCCAGTGTGTGCCTTCGAGAACAGCATGATTGGCCTTGAAAGGGCTGATTTGCTTTCCCCCGGCCCATTGAAACGCCGGAGACCAAAGCCTGTTCCCTCCAGGCGCTCGGAAACCTGGCACCCTTTCCACTTCGCTTCCCCGTGCCCCTCAGCCCAGGGGCTCCTGCTGAGATTTTGCTGTCAACAGAGTTTTGTTCCCTTTCTAGGGCGGCGCAGAAGGGACACAAGGACCTTGAAAATGGCAGCTTCTTTGACACCACTATTCTCCTTCGACCCCCCTGGCTGAATAAACAGCTCACAAAAATGGAGTTTACTGTATTTCCTCCTCAGGGGGAAAACACTGCATCTTGGTCCTAATTAATTTACCTAATTAACATTATCTTCATTTGGTCTGTATGCAAAGACCTCTTTCTGTACTGGCCGGGACAGAGGAAAAAACAGGAATAAAATATATTCAGGCATCTCCCAGCCCCGACTGTAAAAGGGACATCGCAGAAAGAAGTGCGCCGCTCCGATCATTTCAGCCTCGGAGAAAGCGGCTGCGGGAGAATCGCCTCCGCCTCGACCTCCTCTCTTTTGCAAACAGAGCACAGGATGGGGCCGTATTACTGCGCACCAGCCTCTCGATGCTGTGCTGGAGGTGCAGTGCATGTCTTCAGGGAATTAACTGCTGGGATGGGCATGCCTGGGGATGCTCGGAGGGATGAAGCTTATGGCAGGAGGGAGACCAAGGGATAGATACTGTGAACAGGGGGGAGCCAGGAAGATGCCCATAAGCAAGCTAAAATTCAAGCCGCTGGGCTGACTCCTCCACTGCAGTTAACCGGCAAACTCTGTGCCAGTTTATACCTGCCAGGGAGCCTGCTCTGTGTTTAGACCCTGAATTTTCCTGGAGCTTGCCCAGGTCCTGGGCGGTCGCTGCCGACGAGGCAGAAGGCCCTGCGAACCATCCGCTTTCACTGCTCCTGCCTAGCAAAGCTCTGCTCTGCTATTTTGTTCTTTTCCCTGCCAGATGCCAGCTCTCTTCAGCCTCTTTCTTCTCCCCACGCTTTGCTTTGCCGCATAGTTCCGGAAACCAGAAACAAAAGGAGAGGAAAGAAAATAGGCTGGATCTGGGGGGGTGGAGGAGGGGGAGTTTCCCTTCCGTTAAGCTTTTTGCAGCTCTCCCTGCCTCCCAATATGAGACACTATATGGCATCTCACATGACGAGCGCTCGCGCCCACGTGCGCGGCCACGTGATGAGATGCCCAGCTATGCCAGGCTGCGGGATGGAGGCGAAAGGGGAGAGGCTGGGTTTGCAGCCCGACCCCTTTGGCCGGAGAAACAGGAGGATGCAGAAGACAGAAGCTCCTCTCTGCTCCCGACCTGCACGCCCAAAGCTGCGTGCACTGCAGAAACGCACACGCTGGGGGAAAAGCATTCCCAGGCCGCGCGCTTGCAGGCTTTTGTGGTTTAGTAAGATGCAGTAAGATCTGTGCTTTCAGGGCAGGACGTGGACTCAGTCCCACTGTTGCTATCGGGGCCCCTATAGATCAGATACCAGCAGCCGAAACTTCCTAAGCGCCGTGAACTGCGGAGTCTGAGCCACCTATCTCTGCCTCCACATCTTCCCATCATCCCCCCTTTGAACGAGGCTGTCAGCATGGATTTAGGTGTCCACATAATCAGAATAATTTGATTTACAGACATTTTTGTTTTATAAAGGGAAATCCCCCATCCCAGGCTTCATAACCATTAGCCGAAATAGCCAGCAATCATCCTAGAATTTGTTTTCCTTACCAAAATAAAGTCCCAGCTCGGTGTGTGTTTCCATTTGGAAATGCCAGCTCCCCCCACACCATCCCGCTCGGAGCACGCTGCCTTTCCCACCACCCCTGATTTACGGCGGCACTGAATTTTAATGACGTGATAAGCAGGTCCCATCCTTGGGAGCCCCGTCAGGGTTTTCTGCGCCAGTGGAGGAACGGGCAGAAACCTTTGTGCATCCTGATGGACGAGGAGGAGACAGGGAAGGTCTCCGTGCGTGC